AATGGAAAATAAAGTTTGAAGCTTTTTCTTCAAAATTAACGCATTTCTTTCGTTTTTTTCCCAGTTTTAAATATTTTTTATGTTTAATTACATTAATATTAAAAATTAGTGGGTAGCAAGGGAGTTAATTAATAACAGGATAAACTACTTTTATGTAATAGTGTTTAATTTTTAATTTTAGTAATTCAGCGATTATAAAAAGATGAAATTGTTTATTAGAATAAAAAATAACTAATTAAAAATTTGTTTGCAAACTTTTAAAAGTTGAAATCGTAATTTATTAGAATGTTCACTTCAAAATAGCTAAACAGATCAGTAAAAATCTGTAATTTAATCGTTTTTCAGTTTAAAACATAAAAAATTATAAATAGTTACCCGACGTTTACAGTAAAATACTGGCGCTGACTTGTTGTTTTCCTTGAATGTACTGTACTGCAAGCATATTTTCCTTCTCTCTTCCGTTTTTTTCTGCAACTTTGATACATAGTTTGATAATTAGTTAACTGAAATGACATTGGGTAACAAATATCACTGATTTTGGCAAATTTAGGGCTTAAAAACTGACAAGATTGATCATACGTGTAATAAATATTCTGTAGTTATATTTTTGAAAATCAACAGGTAATCCGATACTTTAACCAATGTTAACTTGCTTATAATTAAAATTTAAAAATTAAAAAGCTGTAAATTTAAAAAAAAATAATTACATTACTAAAAAATTAAAATAAATTTGATTATTTTTTGTGCGAAACAACACCAAAACAATTTTTATAGTTATGTTGCAAAAGAAAGAGATTTGTAGTTACGATTCTCTGCGCTGAACTTCTATATTTTAATAACGTATAATTGTAATTTCGTTTGTTGTTTATTTCTGTATTTATTTTATTTTATAAGTTTTAAGAATCCCAATTTTCGTAATACTATGACTTCATAGGAATACAAGTGTGAGGTTCCGGAATTGTCCGGAACTAAAATAGAAAAACGTAAAATAATTTAATTATTAGAGAAAAAAAGGAATGAACAGAAATTTTTTATAGAAACTTGAGAAATAGTCTAGACCCGTGTTTCTCAACCGCCGGTCCGCAACTCTAATCTGACCAGTCCGCGAAAACTTTAAAAATATATACTTAACCTTCCATGCGTTGTTCTCAAATAGGAAATATGTGGATTATTAATCCGTTTATTGATAGCAAACTAATAGATTGAACGACTTTGAATACGAAAAACTAATCAAATTAAGTTCAGACTTGGGATTTAAAACATTGTTTGAATCAATGCCCATAACACAGTTTTGGATTAAAGTTAAATCTGAATATCCAGTTTTACATAAAAAGGCAGTTAGGATGTTACTACCTTTTTCAACAACGTACTTATGTGAATCAATGTTTTCAGCAATGGTAATGATAAAATTGAAACAACAAAATCATTATAGTATTAGTTCTGCCTCACGCCTTGCAGTTACCGCCTTAACTCCAAGAATTGATGATCTTACTAGCAAAAAAGAAAAGCAGCGATCACATTGATTTGTATACTAATGTACTGGTAAATAAAATAACAAATATTTATTGCTCAATGTAGTTTGCAGTTCTTTTTACAACAGAGAATTTTTTTCAATTAAAAATAATATTGTCACTGGTCCACTTAAAAAAAGCAGATATTTTCCGGTCTGCGATGAGTTTTGGGTTGAGAAACACTGGTCTAGATCATCCTTTCTCAAAGTGGGTGATAACGCCCCTTTGCGGGCACTGGAGGCTTTCATGGGGGCAGTAGAAGGCTCAGTGATTAAATATGAGTTTTATTTCTTCTCATCAAAACATTCTTTGATCTCAGAAATAGGATATGGGTCACACCCTATCTATCCTATCCATATAATAATGCATGTTTAAACATTATATTTGCAATAACTGTTTTTAAGATATGCAACAGATGGTAATGTAAAAAGGTTAAAAAAAAGTTACTCTTTTTGTTGAAAGATTGATTTTAAAATTATGTGTTTCTAAGTCAAGAGTTCATTTTAAGCACAGTACAGTACTATTTGTTTATCAAAGAATAATTTTTGTTGATTTTATGTTACCTTGTATTTACTAGATTTACATACAAATAATAATGATAAATGATGATAAAATAAAAAGCTTGTGTTTTGTTTGTAAATTGCTTATTTTTTCATTACATTGAAGTTGTGGATTCTATCAAACATTTTTCTACAGGATGTATGTACTGTATTTTTTTAATGTGGCAGTCTTTGAAGCATATCAACTGTGCAAAAAGAGGGCTAAATGTACTCAATGTTAACAGTGAATGCTGTTTTATTATGTCGATATTCCACACTAAAAAATGTGAGGGACGGAGTTTGGACAAAGTTGGTCAGCGAAAATCAGGGAAAGTCAGGAAATTCAAAACAAAAATTTGAGTAGGAACCCTGTATATACCTTCAGCAGTAGATAAAAAGAATTTTATTTCTTATTTATTAATAACATTCTGTAATCTGTAACAAAATTACAAATTTATAGATTTGCTCTTTTTGTGGATTTATTACTGGACAAACACAGTATGAACTTTTTTTTATTATGACAGTCAAATTATCATTAAAATAAAAACTGAATATATATATATATATATACAATTGACTCCCCCATAACACGGTAGATACATTCTGCTTTTTATGAAATTCATGTTCTATGAGTCTTTAAATACATGCGAATCACAGCCCGGCACATATGCAGTTTACGTACTACAGCTGTTTGAAAGGTTTTCTTCCATAAAATTAATCAATTCCTAGACTAAT